AAGAGGAGAATAGATAGAAAAGTGATATTTTAGCTTTAGGATGAGTAAATCCCTCCTTCACCAATGACCCGCTCCCAGTGCCCCGAGGGCCTTTGGACCTCTGGTACCTTCGATTTTTCAACAAGTGTGGGTAAATTGCTGTTGTTGCCAATTTCGGCAAATGACAAAACATTGTAGCGTCTGCCGTCGGAGAGTACTCTCAACTGAATAGAACAGTTGTAATCGCATGGCTTTATGACGGGCGAATGGGGCGATTGAACCCAGGTCTCAGTATTGTTTGTGTCCCAGCACTGATCTACAATACAGTTACTCGGGGTCTGGTACTATGACGAGCAACGGTGGCCTTCTTGTAGTTGTGTGGTAGCATCCATTTGTCGATCTGAATGCCGAGGAACAGGCAATATGCACCGACAGTGACGGATTTGTTCTCTGTATAGAGCCGCTTGAAAGCCACAGTGTGGGAATCCTTTGCTATGATGATCATCCACTTGCGCCCACGTAACTCTTCATGGTAGAACTCGGGCGGCTTCTCATCTGCATTCATACAAAATTGACGATTGTGAGTTTCGGCTCGAGGTCCGAGACCACCCATATTTCATCTAAGGCCTGGGTGCGTTTTCACAGTTGTGAGTGACATCTCATGCTGAGAACATTACTGCTAGAGGTATAGAATTGGTACTGCGTTCGTCTTCTATAAGAAAATTGGGTACCCATGCGCACACCCCCTTGACCATCCTCAGTTTATCGGTCATAACACGTACAGTAATTGCAGCAGGGATGTCAGTCTCGCGGGGAAACCCGACAAAGGTCCAGGCTCTGTGATCAGATATTCAGTGCCTGACTTCATCCACCCGTTTTTCTTGTGCAGGATGAATATTATGGGACCACCCACGACAACAAATTTTTTCCTTTCTTCCTTGTACGGGCTCCTGAACCAAATCTTCCACCGTGTATTTCGAGAACACCCTTACACACAACTATGGTCCGGCGCAGGTCAAATTTGAGCAGCGCACTTTCCTCTTATGACGTCTGATTTGAAAAACCGGCGCCGATTTTCACCACTCGGGCTTCTTTTCAATTTCTCGAGAACTTCTTCTGGGGCTAGGTTCGCCAAATTTCACAGATACACAGCTTAAGGTACTAGCTTCCAAATGGTATAGTAGCCCGCTGCTCTATCCCCTTTGCTTTTCTGCCATTCCTCTATATGTAGCGGCACGTTTGAATGGGATGACCTAATATTAGGTTGTCCGGAAAGTCTCAGCGTTTTTAGTGTTTCACTTCAAACGATCATAACTTTCGAATCAGTACATTTTTGCCAATGTGACACCAGTCGATGGATCCCATCAAGGAAAAAACTGGGTGGTCGAGAACCCACGAAGGCTTTTTTGCCTGGTCCTGATTGATGAACGAGTTTTATTCAAATAAAACCGGCGGCACGTTTGAATGGGATGACCTAATAGTACAGCCCCCCCCCTCCCCCCGGTAAGACTGTCCCACTTTCGCAATTTCACAGCGAGCGAGAAGCGTGCCACAGCCGCTAAAGATTCTAACACCCTCTCAGTTGGACTGCCCACATGCTAGACCGCGCTCGTGCCCATAAGAAATTCTGCTTTCCTTTATTACAGATTTATATGCAGTTTTGGAAGTTTCTTTTAGTTACGAGTTTTTCGTCGGTGTTTTTTTGTTTTTCGCACTTTTCTTTGCATCGGATGATATTTACGACTGGGAGAAAGCGCTTTGTGAGCCAGGGGTTGCACAGAGACTGTAGAGCGGTCTGACTGTCAGGGATGCAATTTTGTTTATGGTGTTCTTGAGGACTCTTCTTGCTTTTTTTCTTCTTTGGGGAATTACTTATCAGCTACTGGTTCATAATTGAGCAGCAACTATCCATGACACTTAATCGCGGAAATTGTTTTTAATTTCGCCGTTTCCTCGATCCCGTTAACGCTACGCTCTTCACTTTTGAGTGCGACGGTTGTCGCGCTCCAGGTGGAATATCAGCAACAGTTCCGGAAAAAGTATAACCATGCCTCTATCCAGCACAAGACAGGATGACAGTTGCCTCAAATGGAAACAACTCGTCGTACGTTATGCCCAAAAATACGCAACCACGCCCTCTCCATCTCTAGGATATGAAGCGTAAAATATGTTTGTGTGGAAACTCGATGTATTTGTCATTTTGATCCAAGAAAGACCCAACACCTCTTGCTCCTGACTAGACTCCCAGTCCCTCCTGCAGTACCATGATAATCACCAGTTCTTGTGCTACTGCGAGGATCTGCTTCGAAAAAACTTGTATCTATTCTGTTCTATGAACAACTTTTTTTCAGATTTATTGACATAGAATCTGACGTATATTACATACGACATAGCGACGGTACCCGCTTTGCCAAGCGAGAACCAAAACTTTAAAAATAATTTTCCTGAATCCGATATGCTCTATCAAGTTAGGAAACTGGAACCAGGCACCAATCCACTACTGAAACCTACCACACTATGCGTTCCATCCTCCATCAAGTTGAAACGCCCACAGGATCACCCTGAAACAATAACTTACATTGAAAATAAAGGAAACGGAACTATTTTTCTATCTGGTTTTAGCCATAAATGTAGCTCCATATAGGACATGTTGAAGAATA